AAGTATTTCAAGAGAGAATTCGGTTATTGTGAGGCAGATGGGTCCAAAACACAACAAGAACATAACTGAGCGATTTCAATGGAGAATAAGCAAAAATGAAGGCAGTTATAATAGTTAGCGTAGTTAGCGCATTTCGCTTCGGCTTTGCATAGCTGATCTAGACATATGAGGTCGATAAGCAACATTGTTTTTGTTCTTGCAAATTCTTGAAACTCACTCATCATCACCCGGCTTGAACGTGAGCATTCCTTCTACTGGTACGAAATCCGAGTGTTCCTGAGCAGTATCGGCTACGGTTCTGAAACCATTCAGATGTAAAATGATTGTGGCAACATAGAGAAACTGTCTTGGCATGCAAGTTTCTTGGAAGTTCGAGTTTCAGATGTTCGCAAAAGCAGTATCTCTTAGAAGTAAATACAATTAAGGATGATTTAAGATGACTTCGGATTGCTCTCTTCGGAATTTGCTTTTTTCGAAGCGGAAACTTCAGAACTCGGATTTAGAAAATTCTTCCTCGAACCATGAAAGTGGATGGTGCCCTCGGATTTTTCGAAGAAATTTCATTGAAGCAAATACAATTTTTCACTTATTGTTGTTTTTGGGTGCGAATATCGATGTAATGTTTGTGCTCGAATTTTCAGTGGGCGGTAAGCATCTCGAAAGCACAGCTAACGATAAGTTCGGGGTATCTAGTATTAGGCGAATTACAGAAATGATAGCCCAGATTAAGGAAAGAATAGTAAAGTTAACGCTGGAATCAGCGCCTTTGAAGAAATGAGGGGCTTAAAAATGGGTAAAATCAGAAAATGGACGCGAATATGACGACGAAAGTTGCGTGGAAGGGTATTCGGACGAGTTGTCTAAATACATTTGTGTACTGTTGCGTACAATTGGCTACAGTAAGCTGCCTGCGTGCAACGTATGCGTTCCGGTGCGAGTAGTGAAACCTCCACAGTCTCTATAACGCTGTGAGACTCGTCTGTGTACGTAGACTTAGCCACTTTTGGGGCGCTTACCGCGGCCTATGCAGGTCGTCTTTCAACTCGACAGCAACCTTGGGGCTCTCAAGTTCAATCTAGGGGTAAATTTTGAAGCAATTTTTATGGTGAACTGTGCTTTTAACCCTCATGAGGAATGCAATTTACCATTTATCATCAATTCTGTAAAGGCAAATTGGGTACATCTGAAGAAAGGATTACCTGTAGTGTACAGTGACGGTACAGTTAGGATCAGCTGCACCACGATCGCAGCGCACTTTGACTTTGATGGTGCCAACATTCTCAAGACACATGTAGTGGGCTGGATCGAACCTGAACAGCTTCAACTAGTTGGTTTTCAGCAAAACTGCAAGCAAGCTCTCTTGTTGGAAGTGTGAATGCATGCATGTGAATGCATAAGCGACGTACTCGACAACGACTACTTCGGACTTCTTCACTAATGGCTCAATCAGCTCTTCTGCTTTTTTCTTCAACTTCTTCTTTGTGATATCTCCTTGACCGACAAGTTGACGTGTCGCCTAGGGACCATCGAATTCATGTGAAAGGTAATATGGACCAGGAAAATCAGGTAAGACTTACCTGTATACGATAAAAAGCTCGGCTTTTCTTCTGACGACTGACTACCCGTTCCGTCGCCAATTTCTCCAACTCAGCGACCGGAGCATCAGGATGTTGCGCACTACAATGTCCTTTTGTCATCAACTGCTTTACCAAGTCGATTTGACACTGAGAATCGATAACCGTCAATTACCGAAGGGTTTTGAAGATCTCCAAATACTGTTTTCGGTGTTCCTCAAAAGCTATGGCATCCGCATCGGTGTTTGCTTGGATGAGAGACATTCTGCAAAAATAAGTTCGATTCGGTTTCGGAATGAATATCGACTTGCGGTTTCCGATCAGCCAAAGTAGACGGTTCCTATACTAATCTGACCGAGAAGCACCATAATAGAGCCCAATTAGAAGTTAAGG